AATTGGAATTTAAAATATAATACATTATTATATTATACAGCGCTGTGTCTCCCCCAACGGGACAATTCAATGAGAAAAATAAGTTATTATCGTTATTATTATTTTTTTAATTCAGTTTCCCTTTCTGAAAGTGAGTTAAGAGGACGCCTTAACACGAGAGAAATTGTTCGTTGCAATTTCTCTTTCACCTCCATGACTAATTTAAAGCACAGAAAAAGTGATTACAGACAAACGTAGAGTAAGCCATGAAATTTCAATTACTGAAAAGAAATTTCTAAAATATCAAAATAAAATTAAATTATACGACGATAACTTAGGATTACGCAATAGATAAGCTCTCTTCCAATAATTTGTTTGCATTTTGATAGTTTGAATGTTTTTTTTTTTTCTCCAGCAATTGAAACTTCATAGTTTACTCTAGGTTTGCCAGAACTCCTTTTTTCTTTCTTTTATATTTTAAATTGATAATGGAGGGCAAAGAGAAGTTGCGACAAAAAGTTTCTCCCGTGGTATTGCCTCCTCTTAAGGGCGCCGTTTTCAGCATCACCTTGGGAGGTAAAACTTCTCCTGCCTGTACTGCCCTATCATGTCCATAGAGTTGATTCTACTATCTCAACTCTATGATCATGTCATGAAATAGGAGAGCTTTCACCATCGTGATGCAAGTGCTTTGTAATCTATGCATAACCCAGCTTCATCAGTAACAATAACCAATTTGTTGCTGTTTTACTTTAAATTGATATTAGTACGTAACTGAAGAGTTCAGTTAACAAGTTTAGGAAGTGAATTTGAGAAAACTATGCGTATCAGAAAGTTCTTCAATTCTACATATCTGAGTTTGTATATATATATATATATATATATATATATATATACTAATTTTATTAATAAAGTAATTAATTTCACTTAAATTTTAGTGAAAAGTTGTAACATTATAAGTGNCCACCCTGTATATATATATATATATATATATATAAAGGCAAAATTAATGGTATAATGGTACTAATTCACTTAGGGGAAAGGTAAAAAATCGCCATACTATTATTGACGACAATGATGCTTCAGTATTGATAATATGTATTGATTGAAATAAAAAATAACATATTACAAAGAAGTAAAATTAATGGAGAAAAGATACCCATTTGTTTTGGAGATATTATTCGCCATATTAATATTGATATCAATGTTTAATTAATATTGGTAATATGTATTAATTGAAATAAAAGTAAAAGTCATCTGCAAGTAAAAAAAAACAAAGTTGATGGAGAAAAGGTAAATGGATTAAAAGGTTAAAGGTCAAGTAATACGTTCCCACTAATTACCACCATGTGTTTGACAATGGAAGTCATTCCATATTTTCTTAAGTCGAGTAATTAATTGGAATGGACAGACCATACCAATTGACTGCCACAGACAAGCCCAAGCAATGATTTCTCCTTAAAATAGTAGTGCGCAGACAATGTTGCCAAAGACAGTACCTTCCTGAAGGTTAAATAAATGAAAGTGAAATTTTTTTAAAAATACAGAGATAATACTAATACTATTTTAGATCATTTTTAGAACTTCTATGGACTCAAAACAAATAAAGTTGTGCTGTTTGTGGCTTAGAGTCGTTTAAAAATATAAATTTGTCAGCTTTTATAATTTTTTAAATTTAATTTTATTACCATTTAAGTGGATGAGAAATAATTTAGTTGATACTAAAAAATTCCTTTAATATTAATTGGACAAAAAGATATTTATCTAAAATCTAAAAACAGATAATTGGATGTTGATCTTGCATTTACATGAGTCAAAAAATACATTCGAATACAGCAAATATATGACCATTTTATACCATATTAACCATATTTAACCAATAACCCAATGCACCATTTCAACCATATTTAGCCAAAACTAAATAAAAAAGCGTGAAAGCATATTTAGAATTATCCTTTCAACAGATTCAAAAGTTAAAAATACAGAGAAAAAAAATTTTTTTTTTAAGAGCAGAAGAAAAGTTAGTAATAATTAAAATGTTATTTAAAAATATTTATAAATTTAGAAAGTAAAAAAAAAAAATGAAAATCCGAAAAACAAAGTTAGAAGAAGATATAATCTCGTTGTCAGCTCACACGATTATATCCGCAAAAATGAGTGCTTTCTAATCTTGTATTTATATAACTAAAGCAAAATATATCAATGCCATAGTATGAAAAGTACCAAAAAAATTGAAAAGAAAATGAAACATGTTAAACAAAAAATGCAATATGAAACATCTAAATCAAAGAATACAGAATACAGAAAAGAATTCAAGAAAAATACAGAATAAAACAGAAAATGTAAAAAAGCGAGTAACGAATTCAAATGTACTTCCACTTACCGGCATCGTGCGAAAATGAATTAAATTATTTTCGTAACAAGTTTGCCAGATTTTAAAAAATATGAATATGAAAAAAAAAAAAAAATATGAAAATAAAAGCGTAAATAGAGGATAGTGGGGCGTATTTTATGTCGCGTTCTTATTGAAGTAAAGAACCGTATTTGATTTCTTAGTCACCTAGGAGGTGCTCCAAACTGGAAATAATAATATCACACTGGATAACTCAAAGTTTATAATTAATAAAAAGTTGAATTTTAATTATAAATTTTAAATCTTATAATTTTTAGAGAAAGTATTGACCAGTATTTTACTTTAAAAAAAATTTTTTTTTTAAATATTAGAAGATTTTTAGCTACGGATTTGCACGTGGTAAAAATATAAATTTAGTTAGCAATCAAATTTTTAATAAATTTATTAATAATTATAAAATATAATTAACTCAACGATTTTACATTGAATTTAATTACACTAGTTAGATATGCATTATATTTTTTTTAAATTTAATTTTGGAAAAGTTTCTTTATTTGCTTTTTTGGATGATTCATTCATTTATCATTCCTTCTATAGATAGATAGATAGATAGATAGATAGATCGATAGATAGATAGATATAGATATATACACGTCACTGTAGTTGCCACCAAACATTTGTTTTGTTTTTCAAGTCATGAGTTTCCTTTTTTTTTCTTTTGAAAAGGGTATTCGACAACATTTATGTTACTTAATTATGAATTAATTTATTTGAAAACTTGCAGTATCTTCAAATAAATAAATAAATAAATAAAATAAAGTGAAGCAAGAAACTTAGTTTTTATGAGTATTTATATTGTTGCAATCGAGTGTCTTGCATACAATGCTTCATTAGAAATCATAGATGGTAAAATTTAGGTATTTTTCCCCTACACTTGGAAACGAAGGAGACGGTTTATATTCATTAATGCACACAAAATGGACACATTTTCCTGACGGTTGGATCGCCATCTGCTTTAAGAGTAGCAAGAACTCGATTTAAAAAGCGAAAATAAAAATATTCCGTAAGTATCCCCTAAGATCTTCAAAACAAAATTTTCAATTTTTGATGCTTAAAAAAATTGAATAAATAAAATTTTAGAAATGGTGTTTCCTCACTATTTTCTCATTAATATTTTCGCCTTCCAAGTTTCGTCTCGTTTCCTTTCCACTTCTTCACAAATTTTCCCCGTTATTCTTTTTTTATAATCCTCAACAGATGGCGATCCTTTAAGGAAAATGTGTCCATTTTGTGTCCATTAATGAACATAAACAGTCTCCTTCATTTCTTTGTATCAAGTGCAGAAGAAAAATTATCTAAATTTTACCCATCCCCTCTGCAGAGGATCAAAATTGTGATGGCATGTCTTCGGATCATCCTCAAAGATGTTTCCCAGACCATCGCCAATAGCCCATTGCGCAGCTCTAGTGCTACGTAAATGAACTACCACCACCACCTAAATTTTACCACTTATGATTTCTAAAGTAGCGTTGTGCGCAGAAAGCTCGATTGGAGCAACATAAATACTTATAAAGTTTCTTGCCTCACTTTTTATAAATTTCTTAAAATTTTATTTGAACAGATTGCAAGTTTACAAATAAATTAATCCATAAGCATTTTACCCATAAGTACATGCCTTGAAAAACAAATGTTTGGTGTCAACTGCAGATATATATAGTATATATATATATTGATTTTCAAAGCCACTTAACTTTAAGAGAGCCCTTTCCCTTTTTGCTTGCATTTCGAACGAAAAATTCTGACAAAATTAGCTGATTTTATCAATAGCAAATTGAACTTAAGAAAGCATGTGGTAATGTGTGTTAAAACTTACTTTTATAATAAATGCAGCGATAATTTTATACATAAATTTAGCTGTCATTAGTTGAAAATGTATATGTAGCATGATAGTGTAACACTGGATAAGGTTTTGCTCAATTCTTGCCTTCTATACAGATTTCTTTTATGGTTAAGAGTTATAAAATAAATAGTAGATACTAGTTTACAAGATAAAGGTGTATCATTTATTTTTTAATTATGTCTAGTGTTTATGAATTTAAAATCTGTTTTGTGTTGTTTAAGTATTTCATAAGGTGATTTTCTATTTAACGAATTTTCCATATAACGAACTTATTATCGGGATTTAGCTACTTCGTTAAATAGACTTCTGAAAAGCATTGTCGACTTATACGCTAAAAGGAATGATAAATGAATGTATCATCCAAAAAACAAATAAACAATTTTTTACCAAAATTTAATTTTAAAAAAATGCATATCTCCCTACAATGCATATCTAACTAGTGTAAATAAATTCTATATAAAAATTATTGAGTTAATTATGTTTTATAATTATTAATAAATTTAACAAAAATTCCTTTGCTAACTAAATTTATATTTTTACCACTTGCAAATCAGTAGCTAAATATCTTCTAATATTTGAAAAAAAAAAAAAAAAAAAAATTGATAAATGCTAATATTTTCTCTAAAAATTACAATATTTAAAATTTTATAATTAAAATTCAACCTTAATATCTGTACCTTAATGTGTGTAACCTTAATGTGTACAATATATCATGAAAGCAAAATAAATAAATAATATAAAAAGAAAGAAAGTAAAAATGTCCCTTACCTGTGTTGAAGAAGGTGGATATGCATAACCGAATTGTGAATAGGACATTATTCGATTTGGACGGATTAGTGGGGTGTGTAGAAAGGGAGATCGGCCTCACAGTGTCATCATTCGGCCTTTCTTGAACCGATCCTCCAAAAACATGGCGATCATCGGTCAAACATTCCGTTATTCCAACTGTATCCCTAAAATCCGAAGCAAAGACCTCGTGGATGTAACCAACTTTCCCCATCGAAAACCACGCCCATCTTCAGTATGATTGGGCGGTGAGACACGCCTCTTTTGTTTCCATAGCAACCATTTCCTAAAAACAACAACAATACAGAGTAAAGAGAAGAAAAAAGAATTTTTTCCCCCCTTTCTTCTTTTTTGCCAGCTGGAATATTGATTACAAAGTGAAAGGAAACAGGCTGGACTCGATCACCTCAAACAAATATGAAATTTTGTCCATGGAAAAGAATCAGAGTTCTTTTTTTTATTTTATGAGATTTTTCCTATTTGTCGAACAAAGAGAGAGACATTTTAAAATAAACAAATAAACTAGAAAAGCTCTTTCTGAATATCATTTTGTGTTTTCGAATGTTGTTTGCTATGGGTTATTGATGGAAAATAAGATAGACCGAAGTTATTCAAAAACATTGTTGTGCACATATTAGTTTAAATTTTAAAAAAATAAAATAAAAAAATTAAACTTCAGGGCTGCGTTTGAAACTTTTTCGCCAAGGAAGTTTGCTGCGCACATATTAGTTTAAACAAAAATAAAATGAAATAAATAAAGTTATGGCATGTGTTTTTAAAACTTTTTCGCCGAGGAAAATGAAAAAAAATTTATTTTAAATTATTAATCATTTAAAATCAAGAATTATCATTTAAATCCAAAGGTATCTTGTAGTAAATATGTTAGCATGTCTTGAAAAAAGGCATGTCTACAACGGACAAATAATGTAAATATTAAAAAAAAAAAAAAAAAAAAAAAAATGTGGAACATTTTTAAAAGTTTTATTGGTATGAGAATCTTTTATTTCGATTTTTCCATTAAAAATATTAAAAGAAAGATATAATTCTCAAATGTTTTCTGAGCCCCTAACACTACAGCATTTGAGTCAACTTTAGTATTAAAAATATTAAACTTCTGAACAAAAGGGGCTCGAGCTAGACTTATCCTAGACTTATCAAAACTTATCCAAAAAGTCAAAAGTAACAGTTACAAAATCACAACTACTATAAAAAATAGCATATTATGAGATAAAAAATAAGCAAAGAACAGCAAGCTGGTATTTTGAATAGTAAAGTATATACGCAACATTAAAAACTTCAAAAAATATTTTTCCGTTATTTTTTCACCGTAATCTTCTACTTAATTTATTATTCAAAACTAAACGCTTTCTCACACTTAATATTACACTTCCTCTTTGCGTATTTTATATTTAGATCTGAAGTATGTATAAATTAACATTTTGGATTTTTCCCTTTAATTAACCGTGAGAAACATTTTCCCCCCTCTAGCTATTTAATAAACCAATTACTACAATAACTCAGATTTCCCTTATTCTCTAAAACGAAATATTTTATGGCATTATTTTGCTAGATTTTCCCTAATTTTTATTAGAGAACACTTCGATTTGTGTGTCATTTGGATTATCGTTGTCTGTTAACAATGGTTTAATAAATATTTATGTCCTCTTCCTCTGCACTGTTAGAATTTTCATTCCAAAATTATGGTAAAATAAGCAGCAGCAGTCTGTCCACCCGATAAACCGTAAAGTTTACGGTAAAGAAGATGTTTCACCTTTACAGTTTTGAAACCATTTACAACTAGCATGGTTATAAAGTCATGAATACAAAACTGTACGTTTTTTTAACCATTTGCAACTACCAGGGTTTCAAAACAGTAAAGAAAGAAATTTAACTGTACATAGTACCTAGGCTTCTCGTTAGATAATGCGCATTGGAGAGTGCAGGGCACTGGAAACTCTTGTCTGTGTGTCAAAAGGAATGGACGTGTCAACGCTGGGGCTCGAACCCCTGGTCTGTCGGTCATGAGATTGACAGAATTGCCCTCTCGGCTATAATATATACGCATCTGCAAGGAACTAAGTTGCTTCATTAGTTGAGCTTAATTGGTGCCATAAAATTCATGTTATTTAACCGTTTTAGGTAAAAAATAAATAAAAATAAAACAATATTTTTAAAAACCACGTTTTTGTAGTGGAGACGAAAAACGTGGGGTGATAACAGTAACAGTATGTGTGCTCATGAGAATATGTGTATGTATATCTGTAATTGTATCTGAATGTGGATGTGCATGTGGAATATGCTTGTGTATATGCATGTGTATGCGGATGTATATGTGGATGTGGTTGTGCATGTGTATGAGTAAGAAAATGTGTATATATGTATATGTACTGTTATGTATTTCCTGCGCCCCACGTTCTTCGTTTTTCAAATTTTTCTTTTTTAACTATTATTCTCCACTACAAAAACGTGGTTTTTAAAAATATTATTTTTATTTATTTATTTATTTATTTTTTTTGTACTCACTTCCAAAATCTCAATTTTTCCACTCACTGTACGCAAAACTTTTTAGCTGACATGTGACACTAATTTGAAATAATCGAATCGACAACAAAACACAATTGCGAAAATATTAATTTTTCTTTAATTTTAATTTTACTTAACTTCGTACGTCTTTTTTTTTTTAATCATTTTCATGCATTGTCATGCAATTCTGAACTATGTACCAAATTTAAAGTCTGTAGCTAGTCGGGAAGTTAGTTTAAAATCGATTAGAAAATTCCACCCGAAACACACATACACGAAGGCAAGTTGGTATAAACGTGGTAAAATAGTTTGTAAACGATCTTTCTCACGTTTAATAGTTTTATTACCATCTTATTTATGGTTATTTGACTGTTTTGTTTAAATATGGCAAAATAACAATTAATTGGATTGTTATTAAGCCATTTTTAAAAAGAAATTTCAAGCAGTGTGCTGCCTAAAACCTGTTTTTATCCATCCTCTCTGCTTTATATATATACCTTCCAACATACACAGAGTAACTTTAATAACTCCTCAACTTACGCACTTTTTTCACAAAGATAATGCGTTCAAATCAAGGTGGATCAGGATGTTATAAATACTCTCTTAATAATGACAAATTAAAAGCATTTCTAATAAGGAGAACGATTTTAAGGATCATCCCAATATTAAATCGATAAAAGATTTTGTTTTGTCCCTTAAAGATAATCATGATAAGATAATGAAAGATAAAGATCGTATTAATAACTTTTCTTTTACTAATTTACAATTCAAAATTCTTTGTTTCGATCTTGTGAAAGCCCAAATGAGTAAAATTTCACCAAATAAGAAGAAAAATTTAGATGACTTATATTTTGTTATTAACTTTCAGAACCCTATTTTTAATTTGTTTAAATTTCATAAAATTTTTGAAAATTAAAAGAAAAATTGTTTTAAGTTAATAAATTTTAACATAATTATAAAATATAAGTATAATAAATTTCTTATTCGAACTACTTTTAATTATATTTAAATTAGCAAACATTTAGGGAAAATTAATGTATCCGATTATGAATGTAACTATGAAGAAATATATGTCTTGAATTTGCTGACAAAGATCATAAACATATTATTACTGGTAATTTAAATATTATAAGAAAACTTATAACTAAGAATAGGCATAAGTTAAAAGGCATAAAATTTAGATCCATTTATCATAAGTCAATTAATAAAATTCTAAAATATTTTTTTTAAACGTTTTAATAATTTTTGTTTGAAGGTATCAAATAAATTCTCTTTACCTTTAGGTATGTTAACAAAATCACTTTGTTTAAATAAGAACTTTATTTTTATTAAGGAAAATTTAAATAGCAGAAAACAATTCAAGAAATTTTTCTAAAACATTAGCATCAACTAAGAAACTACAAAGAAAAAATTTTTTTAATTACTCCCTTAGACAAAGCTATTAATAATTATGCAATCATTTGCAAAAAATTCTGTGCTGATTTTTTACATAGGGAGTTAAAAAGTAGTAAACTTTTTAAGCCTAATAATTTAAAAAACAATATCATTAAAATAATTTAGCTTTATATAGGAGGTTAAAAACTAAAATAAATAATATACAAATTAATTTCCATACTTAATTATCAGTCTAAAATTTCATAAAATTACTACTATATTTAGAACAATCAATTGTGGGTCAATTACTTACCTAACTAAACCTGGTCCCATTTTCTCTGACTACTTAAATAAAATTATTAATAATATAATTAACGAAGGTTTTTCTTGGATTATCACTAATAATCAACCTATTTCAGAATTTATTAAACAAAATAAAATTAATTCTATTTTGATTTCCAGGATCTCTTCGATGGCATTCCCCTTAATAAACTAAAATATGTCCTTTTGAGTTATTACTATGATTATAAAAATATCGTTAATTAAGATTTTAAATATTTGGAAATTCTAATAAATATTTGATTTTTCAATAATTTTCTTTACAATGGAAAACATATTTTTGTCCAAATTGATAGAATACCAGCAAGGATCTAATTTTTCATCACTTTTAGCTAACATAATTTTACACTATTATGAAGAAAAAAATACTCTTAATATTGAATTTGTTTTTAGATTTATTGATGATTTAATTATCTTTAAATTTTAAGACTAATCAATTTCGTTAAATTTTACTTACCCAGAGGAAATAATCTTGCTTTGTAATACCGAGGATAAAATTAATTTTAATTTTTTGGATTTAAGTATTAAAGAAGAAGAAAATATCTACATTGATGATTTATACGATACGAGAAATGATTTTAAATTTAATATAAATAAACTATTTACATGGAATTCTAATGTTTCCAAAAACATTTAATTAAAAACCATTTTTAATCAAATAAATAGAATTAAAAAAAATTGTAGTAATGTTTATTTATCGAAGAAACAAATAGACAAACTAATTCAAAATTTGATTTTAAAAAAAAATGGATATCCAACTAGTGTAATTAAATTCTACGTAAAAAATACTGAGTTAATTGCATGTTATAATTATTAATAAATCTTGTAAATTTTTTATGGGACTTTTTTTTTATTTCACATAAGTTTTTTTTGTTGAGTAAATTTTTATTTTTACCATGTGCTAGTTCAATTCGGTCTAATCTGTGGCTAAAAGTCTTTTAATATTCAATAAGGAATTTTTTTTAAAAAATTCATTT